ATTGAACATTAGAACATCACGGCGAGGCACAAAATCAGTCTTGCGTGTAACGGGGACCCTGAGGTAGGTAATTGCAGCGTTCGCTCGTCGTATGGCTTGTAATCCGATGTTCAATGAAAATAAATTGGTTTGCTCTTACACTCCTTCACATCAGCCGGATATCTTCAAACTAATGGACTCGAAGATCTTTAAGTGACGTTGTCTATCGTCATCAGGAACGGTAGAATATAACGAAATAATAATGTATAAAATTACCACACGTCTTATTTACATATTCTGACGGTTTGCGAAATTATATGTTAAAGTTTCATCGTACACAAAATAGCGCATGGTGCACGTGCATAGTATATATACAAAAATAAAAATACGAAATTATAATTTATTCAATAGTTGTTAAAAGTAATTTATTTTATACGTAATACTCTATTAACTTTATTGCATAGCTGCATGTTTGCAGTTGAGATAAGCATTGGCCGTGATTCGCTCCACGGAATTTAAGTGTTGTTACCGATCCGCCCATGCTTTACACGTGGGACAGTAATCAAAGTCTTATAAGGAGAGTCCGGCGTTGACATTGCCCACGCATTGCTCGCACTAATTTGTTACGATCGCATCGTATGCTATAAAAACGGATGACCTGAATGCTTATGCATATTTATGCGAGATTCTGTATTCATGACGTCCATCTTCTTGCGTTTGCAGGTTCAACCCGGTCAAACCAAAACAGTAGCCTACAAGCAAGTATCATACCACTACAACAAGGATTTGGACGGGAAATCAGGTGGGAAAAATTTATCAAATTTTATATAGATATATATATATATATATATACAATGTGTAACAAATAATATACATATATTAGAGTTATGTAACATTATTACATATTGTGCTATACGTAACTGTAGAACATTTTCCGTAGAGTTTAGCATACTGTCACTGTAGCAAAGCGGATTCCTATTGAATTCCTTGAATTAACTGAGACAAGTAATACCGCGGAGTCGCGGTGAATAGTACGTGAACGTGAAACGTTCAAGGAAGGTAGGAGAGCCGGTTGCTCGTATCACGCCTTTTAAGGCAAGCAACGGCCTTGCTGGTTTACGGTTAATTGATAATGAAAAAATCGAGCGGATCAAATTTGAACCTTATTCGTATCTTTGACGTGCATATTCTAGCTACACTGTGTGAAGAATATTGCAATAAAGAGAGCGAGATCATGTCATTCATATCAGTTATTGGTTTGCTTCTAAAAGAAAGCAAATCATGACTGAAGTTTCGAAGTCTCGTTGCCGATTTTCATAAAATTTAATAAAGATATTCTCAAATATACGTATGTGGAAGAATTTTTAACGTAAATGAAAAATTTGGCAAAAGTAATATTGAAATAATGGATTAATGTTTAAATTAGATAATAGATAGTAAAATTAGATAATTGGGTAATTCGTGAATTTGATATTTTTATTGCGCTAAGAGACTATCCATCGCCTTGTGCTTTTCGTGCAAAGTACTGATATTACGTTTCTTCAACATTATCATTTTTTATTTACTAAAAATCTTTTTAAATATATTCGTTTGAGACACTTTCGGGCATTTTGTCAAATATAAAAATCGGTAAAAAATCTTTTCAAAACTTCATTTATCTTTACTGTGAAGAAGCATTGAGAACAAGAAGGTCTTCCGTGTATCTCTGTATTTGGCAGAGACAGTACGGTCGTAGCTCATATATGTTCTTTGCGGTCACGCATAACATACAAGCGTAACCATATTAGGACCTCTTATGGCAGAAGGCTGACCCGATTTCTTCGTGTCTCCGCTACTCTCCCGAAAGAATGAAAGGTAAGAGAGAAAGACCGTGGGGGAGGTAGAAAATATGTAGACACAAATTATTATAGTGGAAGGATGAGGACAACGGTTGGTGAGAATCCACTACTGAAGTAGTTAACGTTATAACTCATATAAGATCAAACGAATCGAACCAATTATAACGTAAATTACATCGCAACTTATTAGCACTTTATTATTTCAATCACTTTATAAATTGATATTGATTTAGAATTTTTATTGCGCTGTTCTTCTAAATTTATTATCGCGTTTTTGACAATCACAATGATAACAACTCGATGATTTATTGTTCCAGATTCATGGGGCATATCAGAAAGCAAACAGCCTCTCACTAGCACGCCTTTGATGTGAGTGCATAGTTCTCTCATAAGTTCCAAAATACTTTTGTTTTCTGAATAGATGCCAAGAAACCAAGTCACGTAACATATACTTTCCGTTAACTCGTTAAAGTAGAAATAAACTTATATTTCTCAATTGTCTGTGATTTATGTACGAAAGAAATTTATTGCGGATGATGCAAATTATGCCAACGTCTACAACTATATTTATATCTATTGATATATTTTGAAATATTAAATGTAAAACATTAATACAGGGACGACATCCATGAAAGAACATATGAAGAGAGTAAAACTGCAGTGAGTCCATATACATATCAAAGTCCAGAACCGATTATTAAAAAATCAGTGGTTAACAGAGAATTGGTGAGTACAATTATATTGTTACAACTATTTTCAGACATCGATTCATTGATGTTTTTAAGTAACATTGAGTGAAATGGACAATTAACATTAACAATCATATGTATATCAGGTCTATGGCGATAGTTCAACATCTCGTTCGAAACAGACTTCCCCTCTGCCAGGAACTCAGAGAGACGTCAAGATCATTCACGAAAGCAGTATGTAATTTATATAAATTATTAAAGAGCTTTAACTATTTACCGAATTTTGTCAATAAATGATCTTTCGTTTGCTTAAGATTATCAAACTGAACCACGATCAACTCAAAGTACGCAAGAATACAAAACCATTGAGTATGGAGTCCCAAGTCCATCGATACCAATCAATCTGGCACCCGGTCCAAACACAAAGGTAACCACTACCATTAAGACGTACACCTACGAACTACCGGGAGCACCGGAGACGTATCTACCAGGTAGCAGTGTACCAGGGAGTGTCGTGCTGCCGGGTGATCAAACGATCACATACACCCTACCAAGAACCACTACCACAGACAAGACAGTCACCTATCAGACCATGACGGAGAATGTACCGGGACATCCTGGTTCACCGATCAGATACTCACCGACTGATATCACCGAGAAGTCCAAAACCATACACAAGGAGTCGAAGTTTTATCGCGAGGAACAGCCTTCCTATGCTTATCGCAACGCTCCACCGACGAACATGGAAACCAAGACCACCGTAACCGAAAAATATTATCACGTCGACGGTTATCCCGATGACCATGGACCGAGTGATCGCCCAGACTATTCTGGGAGTACATATCAGAATCAACCGCCTATCGTAAGCGAACATACCAGAAGCATTAATCGGTTCGAAGAATACAGATCCGGTAGATCACCGTCCAGCGGACGTTATCCCGACAAACCAGACACCCCGACCAAAACGAATTATTATCCACAGCAGGATACACAGTCCGGTACAACGATTTATAAATTTTCGAATACTATGACGACAGTACCGCCAAACAAGAACGCTGATGATCACGAAGTCCTCCTGCCGAAACCGTTTCCAACTGGTACTCAAGTGTATCCTGCTAAGCCAATTACCAATGGCGAAGGACCACCGACCAAACTGGAGGATCTCATGGCCTCGTTCTCTGATTCTGAGGTAAAGTAATTTATACTATATTATTTGTACGATGATGATCTTATGTATTTTGTTTGTTCAGCGAGAAGTATTGGAAGATATAGAGAAAAAAGAGCGTCGAAGCAAAAAGGAATCATTGGCTACAAAGAAAGAAGTTGATTTTGTCCCACATACACCACCGACAGTTAAGAGTAAGAATGTTGCTGGGCCACCAGTCTATTATCCTCCTGGCTCGGCTGAATTCACCAAGAAAGAAGAATCTAGCGCAGCTATGTCACAATCTGGCGTAAGATTCTATAACTTTATATGACAAATATTTAATATATTATAAAATTGTCTTAATTTGCGATATCTTATCAATCCTTCTATTCATTATTTTTCAGGGAGGATGGCAAAAAGCTAACGAAAAATACGAATACGAAGCTTCTAGCAAAAGTAAAAGCAAAAGCAGCAAAGGAGGTGCTGTTGTTCCAGTTTGCCTTCCGTTATGCTGCGCGTTGCCATGCGTCATTATGTAACTTATTATTATATTAACAAATTAATGAAATACATGACATACACACACGGTACACATTTGTTATCATAATATAATGAAAAGAAATTAGAGGAGAAACTAATGCAAAAATGTGTAGTCTTAGAGCAGAGTTTTATAAATTTCATAATGTTTCCTTGCCAATATAAGATTCGTTCATTTGAATTATACACATTATGCTTTTTCTATCTCTCTGTCTTTTTAAGTCATATATCTATTTCACTTTAAATATTTATGGTCAATATAATTTAAAAAAGCAATTCTACGTATGTGTTAATATTTAATAAATGATAGAGATTATATAATAAGCAAGTAATCAAAACAAATCATGCTCTTACATGAAAGTGAATGTTAATACGCTTTATCAACATATTTATAAATATAGCAGGAATATTTCGGGAAGCTTATTTATTTTATTTTTATTATTACAAGTATTATTTGTCTCATTATCAAATATTTTTAAATGTACTGCAATATAACATTTGCTGTAACGGAATGCATAATACAAAATGTTATATCTAGTGCTTTCTGTACATTTCTAAAATTTATTATATATTTTGATATATAAATATAAATATATATATAACATACACAAAATAAATAATTAAATTAATAGCACATAATGAAATATTTCATTAAATTAAAATTTTTATTGGTATATAAATATATTTCTGTTTCTATTTACATTAACTGTTCCAATGTATACCTCATACAAAAAATGTAAATTATATTATAACATTAATTAAATATCTAAATTAAACTGTAAAATATTCTTATTTTTCAAATAGTAAAATTCTTTCTAACTGACAAACAAATGACGTTTATAAATTTGTACGCAAAATACATTAAACTTTAAATTATTTCAGAAATTACTTTAAAAACTGACTTGCTGAAAGATAAAATGATAAATCATGACAAATGTTGTAACAAGTAGGATAAATAAATTTTAATTATACACACACTATACTACCGTGAATTATGGTGCTATAATAATTTTAGTATGTATAAAAAAGAATCATGTGAAATAGAAAATATCACTGCAAACAATCATGCACATACCTAATATTGTATATGGATTTAAATATTATTTGTAATTATATGTAAAAATTGTGTCATACCGTGACATATAACATTGCATTGTATATGTATCAATGTATGATAATAATAAGTTGTACTTTAATAAATTCATTGAAGTTTCTTAACAATAACTTTCCATTCATGCGATTCGTCCATTATACATTTTATATTTCCAGAAATCATATCTTTTAATAAAAATAAACTGCATATACTATAGCCACACAAAATATAGTATCCTGAAAAACATATAATTAAGTAAAACAAGAACATAAAAATAAGATATCAGAGCATTGTATGACATGTTGAACCAAAACGTTTATCTCCTTACATTAATAAAACTGTCATAGGCATATGTATCAGCTTCTGCATCCCAAATACATCTTGTACCTATTTTTACACCAGCACCATGTTGTTGTCCCAAAACCACATTGACGATATATTTATACCTCTTAAACTGTAAGTCTGTAAATGTATAAAAAGGAATATACAAGCAAATACTTATATAGAACTTTAAATGTAATAATTAATATGAATTTGAATTGTACATATATAAAAATATAAGTATTACCTTTAATTTTTCTTTCAATAACATCCGCTATATCTTTGGTCCATTGGGCAGCTGCCTGAGCGTCATAGGATTTCGTAGCGAGTTGCTCAAACAATACATCATGTATTATTTCTTTCGCACTTAGAGGTTTAAACCTATGTTAAAAGAGTATTTAAATTTTAATTATAACTCTTATAACTAAATTAAAAAAAATATTAGCCACATCAATTATGCCATAAGTTTCACACTAATTAATAGAACGATCTTTTGATAACTCTTTAAAAATTTAAATGCAGGTTATATCATGAATGTAAGATAAACTGGACGTACTTTTCATCAAGATGTGGTCGAATTTGATAAAGCGGTTGTTGAGCTGTTTCCTCAACATCATCTAGAACTTCTAAATTTACATTCTTCTTTTCTTCCTCTTCCTGTGCTATGTCCACTGCTTCTTGCACCGGGTTATGTCTCACAGAATTTTGCATTCGCTTCATCTCTGTTATTTTTATTATGGATAATGAATCAATATCTTGTCAGATCCTATTGATTGTGAGCATGTTCGAAGTTGTTTATCTACAATAGCAACCAATATCAATCATTGCCGATCGATATTCCGGCATGTTCAACAACTATGATGGAACGCAATGCAGCCAGTTCATAAAACGTGAGTCCCCCCGAAGCACATCTGAGTTCCTTTCATGAACAAAACCAAACCTTGAGTCGTATTATAATACCAGAATACTCGATTAATTTGCTGGATCCAAGTATCCAACAGTAATAAATCACATTGCTGCTTAGCAACTGTACAGTTGTTTTATATTTACTCTTTCGCGCAATCAATAAAGATGAATCAGCTGATCCAACATTGAACATGCTATAGATTTTGCTATAGTATATACAGAGAGAAACCTGAGAGAGGACATAAGGGCCTTTTTCCTGTAACCGCAAAATACCCCCGCATATTACTGCCATCTGAAAAAAGGGATGCAAACTACACAACAATATTAATTTTTTTCGGTGCTTCTGATGATAAATCGCTTGAAATCTCTATTGATTTGATAGATTTATTTCAGCGATTTCAGTGATTTACTTCCGTCAGGAGCACCTGATTTATTTTCGTAAGGAGCATATACAATTTGTTATAAATATACAATTTTACAAATACTTTCTAAAGATGTCAAAATCGTTAAATATTTTTATATGCTTATAAAAATGATGAAAATTAATCCAGAACACGAATGATCCAACGTGTATACAGTAATAAAGTACCCAAAACTAAGGTGTGTATACTAAGGGTTAAATAAAGTTATTTAAAGTATATATTTTAAATAAAAAATATAAAAGAGTTATTTAGTATTTATTTTATTTTAAATAACTACACTTAACTTATTTTTTATTTAGTGTTTTAAATAAGTTTCCCCGAATCTATTTTATATTTTTTATTTTAAATACGTTTCTGAAACTTTTATTATATATTTTTTATTTTAAATAAGTCGTAACAGTTATTTTACCGAGATGATTGGCATTATACGTAAGTTTAAAGAATTTTTAAAACACAGAATAATTTACAGCAATATAGTAGTGTCATAAACTAATTTTTTAGCTGAAAAATTAAATAATGATTAACAAGATATTTAATACTTTTAACCAAAGCTGTATTTAGTACAAATTGTTTCGCAATATATATTATTAAGAAAATTTGCATGTGTCTTTATATAAAGGATGTATAGAATATTGTCAACCTTGGTTTAAATATGAATTATTTAAGAGTATAATAAAAATTGAGACATATCAAAAATATATCACACACGCGAATAATTACCAATTACGTTTAAAGGAATCGCGCAAGTAATATAGGATTAAAATAGTGCCGGAGATGCCACAAAGCAAAGCGCGAAATGTACGACGATACTCGTTTGTTAAAATCGTATAAAATATGAAATAATTGAATAAACTGTGAATATTTTTCATACGCAATAATTCGGTTACTGTGTATTCAACGGCGCGCGGCGAGCAGCGAGGAGTGGGGGAGCGCCGAGCGTGCTGCGCGGCGTAGTGGTTGACTACGTCATCACTTCGGCATTCGCTCGGCGACCTCGGAAGGAGACGGACGTTGTACGAATCGTTCTGCGTGTCGCATTAATTCAAATTAAATATACGGAAATTAAAATTAAATATACGATCGCGAATTGATCAATGCTCATAGTTTACGATCCGTGAACATGTCGAGCGACTGCCGTTCATCGAAAATATATACTTATACTATCACACGCTCAAATCCTAAGGAAAATAAAAATCGGATATAATGGGAGAGTAACAGAAGCGTAAACGAAACTTCTAGAAAGCGAAAATTGAAATATCAAAATGTAAAGCGGGATCTACGATAGAAGTCGTAGCAGTCGTAGAGTCTTAAGTCGTAGAAAATTAATCAATCACAGTAGAATATGAGTCTATACCTAATAGAAGTCGTAGCAGTTGTAGGGTCTTAAGTCGTAGGAAATTAATCAATCACAGTAGAATATGAGAAGAATAATCGACTATGATTGGTCAATTTTCTGCGACTTAAGACCCTACGACTGCTACGACTTCTATTGTAGACCTCGCATAAAAGCGTAAATGCTTCTTTTACATTTCATTGTTCCAATTTTCGCCTTCTAGAAGTTTCGTTTACGCTTCTGTTACTCTCCCATTATATTCGATTTTTATTTTCATCAGGATTCGAGCGTACGATAGTATAAGTATATATTTTCGACGAACGGCAGTCGCTCGACATGTTCACGAATCGCAAATTATGAGCATTGATCAATAGAAGTTAAAAAAAAAGAGCAATAAAAATTGAGATATAATTATTGGGATGTCGAAAGCACTTCATGTGAGCAATTACGTAAGAAAAACCACATTAGTAAAAACCTTTTTTTACTTCTTGCCTTTTGTCAGCAAATTGTAATTGATAAGAAATATTTAAAATTATAAAATGAACGTCAAATATGTTCCTCGATGTATCACAATATAATTATATTACATTAAACGACTCGCGCTGCTAAACTAGATGTAAGAAATTGTTTCATTAATCGGAGAACATTAAAAATGTAAAGAATATATTATCTTACTTATTCGTAATATATTCGTTATTATTTCGACAGTTAAGCGGGGTCTACAATAGAAGTCGTAGAAAATTAACCAATCAAGAGTCCTCTACATAGAAGTCGTAGAAAACTGACCAATTTCAATCGAGTGTTCTCTTTATATTTGATTGTGATTGATTGATTTCCTACGACTTAAGACTCCACGACCATCTACGACTTCTATGTAGAGGATCTTTCACAGTAGAATGAGAAGAATAATCGACTATGATTGGTCAATTTTCTACGACTTAAGATCCTACGACTGCTACGACTTCTATTGTAGATCCCGCATTAGACGGTTGGCGCGCGACCTTGGGATGGGGAAGGAACGGGGTGACACGGGGTGGCACGGAGCGGCCGCGTCGTATTTACGCGTAGTTATTCTCTTACCGAGATTCGTAGGTAGTTGTGTTACGTGCGGCTCTTTTTCACATTACTTTTTGAAATATTATCGCAAAGAATATAATACGAAACGTTGTACTTTATGAATAATTAATTATACTGGATACTAGTAATTGTATTATGTGATATTTATAAAATACAACATTTCGTATTATATCTAGCATTTTCTGCGATTATTATATATTTCAAAAGGAAATGTGAAGAGCGACACGCGACATGGCTTAATATGAATACTCTCATGCAAATAACGCAATTCCTACTTTCATAATTAATATAGCTTAATAATTTAATTAATTTTTTGTTTTCGTGCACCTTTCGTTATACCATTTAAAAATTAAACTTATTTACACGTGTAATGGAAGCAAATTCTAAGCAGGAACATTAAAAATATTTAATGTGTTGTCAATGAAAATGAAGTTACAAATAACTTAACTTTAACGTTTACTTACATCATATTTTATACAAATAAAATTTAATAAAAAATGTACTAAACTTCGTAAAATTTTATGAAACGTACACTAAATTTCATGTACATGTACACAAATATACTTTTCAGTTACAGATATATAAAATTTAATGTAGTAATAAAATTTAATTTAATTTTGTAACTTAAAAGTACATTAAATTTTATGTCTTTTTTAACACAGTGTAGATAATAGCTATATATTACATTTTTCAGATTATAGTATAAAATTTAATGTAGTAATAAAATTTAATTTAATTTTGTAACTTAAAAGTACTTTAAATTTTATGTCTTTTTTAACACAGTGTAGATAATAGCTATATATTACATTTTTCAGATTATCTTCCCTCTCCCGGGTACACCTTGACGTGGTGGGAGGGCTCAGTATCCAGAAGATATTTACACGAAAAGAACGTTTTTTCTCAAATATCTAAAAATTTTCGGATATATCTGAATGTATATCTAGATAAATTTTTAGATATTGAGTAAAATCGTTCTCTTCGTGTAAAAATCCGGGGAAGCTAACGTACCCTCGTCGCCGATTTACTTAAAAATGAACGAACCGCAGCCGGTTCGTCGCGTCGCGCGTTTTACTTCGGGAGTGCCGTTCAAGTTATCGGACTCAAGTTATAGTCCGCGCGCGATTATAGTTTATTATTCGCGAGTTTCACGCGAGTGTCCTGTGCGAGGCGATGCCACTTTTGAGAGGAGGAGGAGGTCTGGGAGAGACATTGGACATCGATGGAGCAACCTTGCGGTAAATATTATTTTTTACTTGTGTGTAAAATTAACCTTTTTTTTGCTTGTTTTTAAATCATTTTATTTGACAATGATTTAAAAATAATTATTTTTAAATGATTGCTAAATAAAATGATTTAAATAATTATATATTCTATAAAATAATTATATAAAATAATTATATATTCTCTAAAATAATTATATATATTTTTGGAAGATCTTAACAAAAATAAATTTGTATAAAATTTTAAAATAATTTTTAAGTAATTCTCCTTTTATCTAATTTCGATAAGCATGTCATCTTTCAAGTTTCTTTCTGGTATATATATGTATACAAACTAAGTGAAGGAAACGGTGGTTCTTTATTTTTTCTGCGTACGCATATCGATATAAAAGATACAGAATATATGAAATAGAAATTAATAAATGAACAGCTAACTAAATAATATATAGATGTTAATAAATACAGTTAAAGATGTTTTACACATATTTTCAAAATTATAACAAAATTATGAAAAAATTACAGATTATTCTAAATCACGTTTAAAAACAATGTGACAAATTTGGTGACGGTTTATTATCTGAATCATAAGTTATTTTAATAAATAGTACTATTTTTTAATCTGTGCTGTAATAAAAATATATGGAAATGTATTATAAATGAATGATAATAATTTTTTAGTATAAGTACATTATGTATTTAAGATTATTTATGTAGAGTTACATTGTAGTGCATGAACTAGTTGTCCAGTAAATAAAAATATTTATTTGTTCTATATCTTTGTAGCTATTCAGTGAATAACAATAAAACTTTGCATAAATTATTTTAAATATTTTAAAGCACTTGTAAAAAATGTAAATTCTTTATCATTTAAAGAATTTTAATTTTTAACAATACAATAATAAATAAAATAAACTACAAAAATGTATTATTAAACAAAAATATCTTATTCACACAACTTTCATATGTACATAATTAATTTGGAAGTGTAGTGTTTTTTGCAGAGATTGTATTATAGAGACGTTTAATACATCCTTAAATGCTAATGTGCAAATCGCAAATTATATATTTTTAATTTTTGAAAGCTACATGATAATAATAAAATAAATGTGAATGAAATAAAATTGAGATTAATAAATTCAGTTTTAATTTTCTGTCATTACGTACATATATGTATATTTAATTTATTAAAATCCAGCCAAGTTTGTATTAGAAGGGAAGAATGTACGCAGTAATTGACCTCGTTCCTTATCTATATGTAAAGTCTTCCGTTTTACCATTATCTCATGTTCAAGGATGCCTCTTGCCTTGACTAATTCTGCCTGAACCTCCTCAGCGCGTTTTAATTCTGCCAATACAGCAGAAGTATGTTCGCCAAGTGATTTTACTTCTTCGATAAGACTAAGTGAAATGAAAGTTTGTTTTTATAATGTTCCTTAATACTATTTGTAAAATCAGTTAAACGATAATTTCTTTTTCAACGACTTACGCAAATTGAGGTGCATCTCGACAACTTTCAACATTGAGCCGATTCAATCGATTATCTAATCTCGTTTGTGCTAATTTCATACCATTGTTTAATCCCTTCGTTGAACCCCGAAGTGTCTCAATCAACTTTTCTGTATTTGCTAGTTCATGCAAGCACTAAAAATAGAAATGTTTTATTTTCGCTGTTTTATATAAAACTTTTGTATATTGCCTTTTGTTATCTTCATAAATCTTACGCGAAGTAATTCATTCTCTAGTTGCTGAAGGCAATCTTGTGTGAGTTCCACATTGTTTGCAAGTGCAACGTCAACGCGAGTCGCTTGATCGCGTAGATCTTTAATGGAATTAGTATATATGTCGTTCAAGGTGGACCTTAATTTTATTGATCTTTGTTTAGCAGCTTCACTATCAGTTAATACCTCTTGGGTGAAATGGTCGTAACTTGTAGGAGTAGATTGACTGAAAAAAATATTGATTATGTAAGCTGATTACATCAGATCCAACGCTAAAAATAGTAAAGTTGTATATTTTTATTTCGAAACCGCAAAAAACAAATATATATGCAGATATTTCTATTGTTACTATTATCATTGCTGTTTCTTATGTTACTATTATTTTTGCATTCTCAATGTTCTTTTGCCTATTTTGCACTTATAAAATGATGCAAACTCACTCGGCTGGAAATCTCGTAGCTCCAGCTTTCCACAGTAGAAGCGGAGAATCATTAGACAAATTCACACATACGGAGTCTAGATTGTACGTATGAATTTTATCAGACCAATCATTCTCTGCCCGCGCTTTCGCAGACTTCAATTCGACCATTTGTATTTCGATCTGTTCATAAGTTCTCCTCAGTAAATCTCGTATCTCGGTACAAAGCGCTATTTCCTGGAATGTAACACAGAATAAAGAAACTTGAGAAAGCGGCATTGTTTTGATGAATTTATCCGAAATTCAACCTTTGTGAGCTGTTCCTCGACATTATCACGGACAAGATCAGAGTTTAAACGAAAGGAGCGTAATTGTAAAAATTCGTTTGCGATTGACAAAGGAATGGTTAATATTGATAAAGATCGCTGTACACGGCGACGCTCAGTTTCTAACAATTCCATCTCTTCTGCAATGGCAGCGATCGCATGTTCTAATTCCGCCTTCCAACGATACACCACATTAGCCCGTGTTTTTAAATGTTCCGTCGTTTCTGATTGCACCTTGTCGGCTGTTGTGTATACTTGGTCTACGCATTGCTTCGCACGGTCAGCTGCGACTCTAAGAAATTCATTTTTTATTAATATTATTAAAAATTAATAAATATCTATCGCTTTTATACTACTACAGAATATTGAACTCAGAGATCCTTTAATAATTCTCGAATCAAATTATAAATAGACACAATTTTAAAAAATCACAAATTATGTTGAACTACATACTGAGCATCGCAGATTCTCTTATTCGATTGCTGAAAGATACTCAAATTGTGCGCGCGCCATTCACTTGGTCCGTAGCGAGTGATGGAATATCGATCTGCAACTGGCCTCAAACCAGTTATTCCACCCTCGCGAGAACAGGTTACTTTGCCTGTAGCCCATGGACCAATAGGTTCCATTGTGTGTCCAGGTTTTGGTGGATATTCATCTTCAGGTTGAGGTAAATAAAGCGGAGGTTTTTCGGCGTTGTCTCCGCTACCACATTCGTGCTTCATCATAGAGCATGGTTGTGCCTTCTGGTTTAAAATTTGTTACAAGATGAAAAGTAAAGTGTGTATATGTGTATAACAATACAATGAATAAATACAATAATGACACGCAAAAATATTCACACCATTCGGCGTACATTTTCTGTATATCTTCTTAACAATTTATTTACACATATGTTAAGGAGATATCGTTGCTACTAGATGTGTCGATGTGTGTAATTTATGTAAATTGATGACATAGGAAGAACTTACCTCAATTTGTTGTTGCAAAGTGTGCTGTGGGCTGTCAGCAGAACAATCGTGTCCGTTTGGAATATCCGACATTTCGTAGGATAATAAAAAAAGTAATGTACGTAATGTGTTTTATGATTTATATTTTGAAGGTATACTGAACATAGGCTGTACAATTGAATTGTACATTTACGTGCAATAAATTACATGAATTTCTGTAAATTTAAGCTGTCGCTCACAAGCTTGTCTGGTAAACTGGATTTATCGATTTAATACGCACAGCTGGACGAATCGCCTCATTCTTCTAAAGAAGGGATGATGTTTTCAAATTAACCTTGTTTTCTTTATATCAAAGAAAATTGATTCGTTATCATTCGTCATAACGCAAATGACTAAGTTCAAGATATTACGTATCTATTTTTCTGTATAATACTAAAATAAATATCTTCTTCTACATAAAAAATGTATCAATACTTAGATTGTCGAAAAAAGTTTACTTATATTAAAATATAATATTACGTATAATAAAAAAGTATCTCTACATAAAGATATTTACATATTTTTTTTATTTGCGCAATATGCTTTTTTAACATTGAATAAGACAAGAAATACAATGATTAAATGTTTGTAAAAAAAAATGATGCAAGACTTTTTTAAGCAGCCTGTACGAAAATATTGATAATTTATCACAGTTGGACACACGTGAAGATGCCCTATGTAAAAACCCCTTTATCGAATATATAATTAGAACAATGTGATTTAAATTTTATTATCAACAAATAATTTGATAGAGTTAACTATTTGATAACTAGCGAATTCGATTGAACACACTCGGTGCGCACTAACCGAATTCGCTATATGATATTCTCAAAATAAATCAAGATACTATACTTACAATTAGAGTTCCAGAATTGCGGGAGGAAACAGAACGCGGAGTATTCATCGAGACATTTAAAATATTAATGTAATATAATATAATTAATAACATATTGTATATATGTTAGCAACATTTATATGAATATTCATAAATATTGCTAACATATATACAATATGTTATTAATCATATTATATTACATTAATATTTTAAATTTTGGCGTTTCTTACATTAATATTAATATTATTAGAATGTATTGATATAATATTATAATATTTTCATTAAGTTTTTTATGGTTATAAAAATCCGAAAGATATCAAAACGGATAAAGAGGCTATATTTAAAGGCTTGTAGAACAATCTTATCACACGCGAGAAGAAAACATTTCTTGAACGACGTATCTGTCTTGGTGACGTTGTATCTATAATATAAACGCCAGTTAAACATACTCACTGGCACTCACTCGCCAACTGTTGCCAAGTAAACATCGCCGAGAACAGAATGGCAAAGCAAGTTCAAATTAAATATACTCAAGTAAGTTGATATCTTGTATTGTTTCATAAAATGTATAATGATTTTTTTTTAACTAAATATATCAAATCGCAAATATTTAAATAATAAAGATTTATTAATAGAATAATCCTTGTGTGTGATCTACATAAAGAAATTTTTGCGTGTTATTTAAAGAATATATCAATTTTATTTAAAGTAGAGAGAGTTGCAAAAACACAATTTAAATGATTTTACAAATTTTTAATTAAAATTGAATATAAAAAATAGCGAAAAACAGGATAAAACATTTTATCGACTTTACCAACATTTGAACTTCTCAACGATTCGACCTTTTAAATTAATAAACTATATTTCATTAACCATATCAAATATTTTTTATAGCTATTCATCGACAATGAATTTGTGGATGCTACGAGTGGTCGTAAATTTCCCACAATAAATCCTGCCGATGGTAAAGTTATCACTGAAATCTCCGAAGGAGATAAGGTAAAGTTCTCTACATTAATTATATTATTATCACTATATATTATTATCGTAGAACATTGCATAAAAAAAGATAGTAAAAGATAAGATAAAAAGATAATTATACATAGATTTGGGGAGATCCAGATTTGGGAATTACATGCTATTTTTTTTCAGTTATAAATCTTTGATTATGAAAGAGTTAATATTTAAATTTTTTGTTGGCTTTTAATCTATTCGATATAAAAAAATAATGCTTTAGAGGGCTATTCTATAACTCTTAACGACTCTAATGATATCGTTGCAGTCGTTATAGAATATACCTCTTAATGTAACACAAAAATGTAAATATAAATCTTTTATCAATTTGAATCACATTTTCTATACTTATTTATTAAATGTCCGTTGTGGTCTCTACAATTTAGATAAAGAATTTAAAACTTAAAGAGATACTATAAACTGAATAAAAAAATAATTTAATTTAATTGATATAACTCGGAAAATTGAATTGTATAGTGTTGAAAATAATTTTCGACTTTGTATTTTGTAAAGTTATTTGTGTCACTTTATAACACAGATAACTTTGTTTTTTTTATTTGTCCTCGAGTATTAAAGAGTTATCTCGTCATATATTTTTCTTTTTCATTACCTACTTATTTTTTACATCTACAAGAAATACATATAATTATTTACACGGCTACATATGTGTATGTATATATACATCTTAATAATAATAATTCGGACTTGCAAATTTCAAAAAACATGAAGAGAAACGGCTAGTACGAGTCAAGAATGCAGATGGTATACGTGATAAATAAAAACAATGTTGTAAAACAAATTTTACGACATATAGCACATAACGTTTCGGTTTTAATTTGAATCAGCTTCAGAATGTTTCAAAGTGATAAAGCATCAAACCATATAAGTAAATCGATTGAGAGAAGAATGGATTTTATTGTCGATCTCAAGAATGAAACTATTCTGACAGTAGAGAAACTCTGACAGTAGAAATTAATATAGAAAAATTTTTTTGAACATCAGTTGCATGCCTTCATTAAACTTTTTTCATTTAATATTTAATATTAAAAATTAATTGTACTTTTAAAAAATAAATTTCTTTCTAGGCTGATGTAAATAAAGCAGTGGAAGCTGCTAAACGAGCCTTTAACAGAAATTCGAAATGGCGTACAATGAATCCATACAACCGTGGACAACTTATGCACAAGGTAAAATTTTGTGATATATTTTTTTTATATACTTAACCTACAAATATTAACTGTATACTAGATATAAATGAATAAAAGTTGAATAGTTCGCAGATCTTGTTACACGCGATTTAGATTATATTGCTACTCTCGAAACTCTTGATAATGGAAAAACATATACAAGTGCTGTTGAGGATATTCAAGCAAGTATTGCTACTTTTCGTTATTATGCAGGCTGGTGTGATAAAATACTTGGAACTACTATTCCAACAGGTACTCATTTTTTGAATTGTTTTACCGTTTGTATAATAATTATTCTGTGTAGCAGTGTATGTATATAGATTTAAAAAATATGGTATATTAAATTTCACGCATTAGTTTTTCATGACAGATATAATATAAATTATAAATTGAGTGATAGTAATTTTATTTATTATCTGACTAGGCGATAGTAGTGTTACATTGACACGAAAAGAGCCAGTCGGCATTGTAGGACAAATCGTCCCTTGGAATTATCCTTTCCTGATGTTGACTTGGAAATGGGCCCCTGCCTTGGCTACTGGATGTACACTGATCTTAAAGCCAGCCGAGCAAACACCTTTGACTGCGCTTTATGCAGCTGCTCTAGCCAAGGAGGCAGGGTTTCCAGCGGGTGTCATAAATGTCATTCCAGGTTACGGTCCAACTGCTGGCGCAGCTATTGCTGAACATCCAGAAATTTGTAAAGTTGCTTTTACTGGATCCACCGAGGTATTTACATTTTATGTGATATATAACTGTATTGATAGAAATGTATTAGTATAAATTATGTTTCTTCTCTAGGTCGGACATGCTATAATGGTAGCTGCTGGTAAAAGTAATCTTAAGCGTGTCAGCCTTGAATTAGGTGGCAAGAGTCCGCTCGTTATTTTCGATGATGTTGACGGTATGTTGTAAAAATATTGAAAAATTTTAATACACTTCGTTGAATAAATAATTAATTTATATTACATTGGCTATATTTATAGTGAAAGAAGCTGCAGAAATCGCACATAATGCAATATTTGTAAATCATGGACAAAACTGTTGCGCAGGATCGCGAACATTTGTACATTCTAAAATATATGACGAATTCGTGAAACATGCTAAACAACTGGCGCTTGATAGAAAAGTAGGAGATCCATTTGATCCGAAAATAAATCAAGGTCCGCAGATTGATCAAGAAATGTTCAGTAAAGTCATGGGCTTAATAAATTCGGGCAAACAGCAGGGTGCTGTTGTGGAAGCTGGTGGAAATCGGCAGGGCGAAACTGGTTACTTTGTACAACCTACAGTTTTTTCAAAAGTAACCGATGATATGAAGATTGCCAAAGAAGAAATTTTTGGTCCAGTTCAAACAATCTTGAAATTTGAAACCATCAATGAAGTAATTGAACGTGCCAATCGCACTAACTATGGCCTTGCTTCTGGTGTAATCACTAAAGATATTAATAAAGCTTTGGAATTTGCCCAAGCTATAGAAGCAGGTAGTGTTTGGTACGTATTACAAAGAATACATGATAATATTTCACTGTATGGACATATATAATTACGTACACTCAATGTCTTTCAGGATAAACTGTTATGATGCTATCACACCACAAACACCATTTGGTGGTTTCAAACAATCTGGCATAGGACGTGAATTGTAAGTCATAATTGCTTAAGCTTTAAATAGTGTTATTTAACTTTTGTATCTTTTTTTCAGAGGAGAAGAAGGCTTGAAAGAATATCTTGAGATTAAAACAATCTCTATTAATGTCACGAAAGGGAATTAATATGTATTGCACAAAGTGCACAATACATAAACTTGATTTTTTATTATGATTTTGATTATATTTTTATTATAAATATCTTGAACAAAACAGAATATTAATAAAATGGTATATGTAATGATTTATTATTCACAGTAATTGTTCAAAATTTGGGAACCATATATACTCTTTTCTTCTATTCCTTTTTTACCATGAAGCATAGAGGAACTAATATATATTTGAGACATGTATATAATATCTCGAAAATTAGGAGAATACATTTATGTATATAACATAAGAATATAAAATAGATGAAAAACAAAATAATTATATTTTAGTTTTATAAACGTAACACTTTTATTCTATGTGAATGTTAAAACTGCAGAGTCTTATTTTGATATAATGATAAATAAAATTTTTTTACCTTTACATAACACTATCGCAAATATCTATAATGTACGAATCGCAGGCTCAGGATAATCATCTGGCGGTATACCTAATTCTTCGTCTGTCCAATCAGATGGCTCTTGATATGGAAACTCTCCCTGAATA